AACCGCTTGAAGCGATTTTCTTTCTCGTGCTAAAAAGAAGAAGAAAAAAAAAAGCAACCGGTTCGGTGAGCGCTGATGATTTCCTTCTGGAGGAAGAGCTATTCCCCTCAGGACTGCCACACTCGTTCCCACATGCCGGGGTCAAAATGACAGGTGATGCAGTTTTGACGTGGTAAAGCGAGATGCTCGTCTTTGTTAGCAGGTTTTTAACAACGTCGTTTTATACACCAGAGTCAACTTTCACGACTCGACACATCTCAGAAACTCCCAGCAGGAAGAACCATATATATTGAAGATAATACTTACGTCCTTTAAAAGCATAACCTTAAAACTACTATTGTTTCCTCTCACGTTTAAGGAGAAAATGCCAATAAGAAAGTTAAACTACGCCTAAAGACGACGCTTCGCAGGAAGCATTTCATTCTTGTTCCTATTAATTTGTGAGAATTCGCCATCCTTCAGGTGTCTCAAGGGAACGAATCGTAGGTTAAAATTATCAATGTCAGAACGGAGAAGGATAACTAATCTTTCCCTCTTTATCCAACAATCTCACTAGAAGGTTCGTTTTTCTGGTACACCTGTACCAGAAAAATAAATGTGCCTGTTACAAATGTTCCTTTAAGCTGTTAACAGCTTAAAGTTTTAAGTCATTTGCAACGCAAGTGATTCGCGTTCAAGCACACATCAATCACGTTTTTGGCAATATAACGGTATTTGACAAACAAAGAAGTCCCCGAAAATAACTTTCAAGAGCCTAACATAAGCATAAACAAAGTATTTACTTGCACTGGATACCCTGCAACAGAAACGTAGCTACAAGAAACAGGACCAGGCTGTGTTCAGGCTCGTGTAATGAGAAGTGTGTGGAGGGTAGTCGCAGCACTACGCACAGAACTGGATGGGAAGTCTACTCCGACTGATGCAAGACTACTCTTGATTTACAAGACCTCCGATTTAACGGAAATAAGAACGTACATAGCTTAAGGGAAAAAAAGCTTCTTAAAACGTTTTTAAATGAGAGGTTTTAAGCAGTTCAGGTGCATGCAACTAAATCATGAAAGCAAATCAAGCTCTTAAATGTGAATGGAAAATGCAAAACAAGGACTTAAGCACTAAAGTGCTTTTGGTTATATTTATTATAAGCCCAGTTTTATATAATCAACATACAGGTTCTCTCAGAAAAGAACTCCCCCATTTGACTGCTGGAAAAAGTTTAACCCCCAAGTAGAAAATAATCGATCCTTTTCACACACACACCCCCCGCCCCTCCCATGCCATTAGCAAATAACCAGAAACATGGTTTTATAGCTGTAAAGCCATGAGCTATATCTGGTCTCTCCCTCTTTCTCTCCCCCTTCCCTCTTGCATCACAAAGGCACTATTTACTGGAGGCAACTCTCCACACTGATCAGCGCTTACAAAATGTGCAAGTTTCAGAGATTCTACTGATCACATTTATAAGCAGTGAACAAAGGAATGCTTTCAAACTTACAAACGCATAAGTAAACATTTAATAACTTCTTCTCCACCTCATCTTTCCCAAAAGAGAGAAAATACTGTATCCATCAGATCCTCTTCTGAGTCTCCCATTCATTCCGATAAGTAGGTGCTTTTTTTCACTAGAACAGAAAAAACACATCTGCTAGGTTTGATATCCAACCTCTTTTTTTTTTTTTTTTTAAAGATACTTTTACTGCCTTTTGCCTAGCATGGTTTTTGGAACATGTTAGCAAATAATATTTTACCATCGGGAGCGTATGTTCCATTTTATTTTATAATGCAGATTTTGAGAAGTCTTAGTGCTGAAGTTTGTTTTTCTAACCACATGGAGGTTTGAAGCAACAAGCACATTCAGGAAAAATACTTTAAGTGGGTGTATATTTGTGCTGGGATCCTCTCTCTCATTTTGCAGTTTATGGAAAGCAATCAAGGTCAGCTTTTCAATATGTCTTTG